CTTGAAGACGTCATTCTTCAACACTATAAACTTGAAAAGACAATGCATAAGTGCTAGTATAACAGTGCTGATATAGCAAAATGCATAAGTGTTATGAAAATCTAGGCTATACATTAAAATGCATAAGTGATGGTATAGCAAAATGTATAAGTGCTTTGGTATGGCATTCAGTTCTAATCTTAAATTAATGATAATTAAATTGAAAGAATTCACACAGGTAGAACTGCTTGAACCAGCTATAACTAGTTCTCGGAATATACTAAATGCTTGTATGAAGGCTGAAGTGATAAAGGTTGTGGTTGTATCGTCTATTAGGGTTGTTGTGATGAACCCTTATTGGCCCAAGGATCAGGCAATGGATGAAAGCTATTGGAAATACATAGAATATTGCAAATCAATTGAGGTATTTCAACAAATACACCTTCAGAGTTCATCACAACAACAAATAACTTCCTTGATTAGTCAACCATCAAGTCAAAAATGATTTTTTTTCTTTTCAGGTCACAGATGATAAGTGTAAATTGGAAAGAGATTTTCACAAGTTAACCAAGGTATCTCATGTTCAGCAATCAACACCATTTATGGACTATAATATTTGTAGTTTCACTGAGTATCATGACTTTGAGGCATCCTGCAAGTGCACATTGGGACATGGATGTATCGACTTTTTGAAGTCCACTTGCTAATGATAATTACGTTGTTTCTTTATGTGCCTATCATCAACAATTATCATCACCAAATCCTTTCTGGCATTTTCTCAAATAAGTGGAAGGGTGGGGAGGTGTGTGTGTGAGAGATTTGCTTGAAGGAGAAAGAGGGAGATAGAGAGAAATGAGAAAGGGAAGGGAGAAGGAAAGAGAGAGAGATGAGATATAAATTAGCTTCTGTGCTCTAACTATAATGTGAAGAATGTCAAATTTATCGCCGGTTTTCTTCATGAAAGCATCTCCAATTTCAACATCAAATGCTCATGGAATTAAACCAATGCCGATAAAATGAAAGGTTTTGTTGAAAAAAAAAAAGAAGAGAGATGAGCCAATTTAACGAGAAATATGACTTGAGAGAGTGATCGAAGGAACAATTGAATTTGAATTTGACAGATCTAAATTTGAATTTGAATTTGAGTTGTGAGACAATACATATGACAATTGTTAACATAGAGAGAACATATGTTGCCTAAAGTCGGAGCTACCTGAGGTTGTCGGAGCTACCTAAGGTAGTCAGAGTTGCCTAAAGTAGTCAAATCCAAATCTGCTGATGTCGCAAGGCTCTACTGTTAAAGTCTAACGAAGACGAGGGGTGCAGATCTTCAAGGCTGGAATTTCAGAGACCAGCCAAACGACGTCGTTTTGGTAAGAAAGATTAAAAAAAAATGCAAAAAACACTTCAAACGATGTTATTCCACTTAACCGCATATCATGCAGTAAGTGAGTTACCACAAAAAAGCCACACCTATAGAGTTTTGTGGATACTGGTGAGGTTAGCAATGGGTAGGGAAGGAGGGAGGGAGGGAGAGAGAAGAAGGCAAGAACAACAAAGAGGTTTGGGAGAAGAAGGGGCTTGCTAATGGGGATGAGACACATGATTATGTCAAATTGGTGACACTTGCACAGTTCACAGGCAAGTGATGCAATTTCTTTAGTGCGTCACAAAGTAAATTTTTTATATTATATTCTAGTTTTTTAAAAATATTATAATTTACCTTTTCATTAATTTTTGTTATTACAAATACTAATAGGAAAATTTTTTACAAAATAAGTAATGGAGGCTAACAAAGAGTTCACATTACAATATTTTTAACACATTAAAGGTGTAATATAAATATTTAATTTTTTAGGGTATAAATTAAAAATGTTTAAAATTTTTGGGTACAAAATGTAATTCCCCATTTAGGTAAAATTTAGTTCATTTCCAAGTTCACAATTTTGATTAGGATAACATTTGATGCACTAAAGTATTTTTACTCTCATGTTAAAAAAATAAAATAAAAAAGTATTTTTACTCTTTTATTTTTGTATTTGTTTTTCTTATCCCAATTAACTCTCTACCTTCAAACTTTAATTGCATTTAAATAATACTTATAATCACGCTTGTTAATAAATTAAATTTTGATTGATTTGAATTTAAATTTAATTTTAAAAGTCTTATCCAATTATACGACATATTTTATTTTTATGGCCATATTAGAATCCGTTAATAATCTAAAATTTGATTTGATCTGAATAACTTAATTCAACTAAAATTTAATAAATTATATCTAAATTTTAACAAAATTTCTTCAAATAATCATTTAGTTTCTTTACTAATTAAATACAAATATATAAATATATATATATGTGTGTGTGTGTGTGTGTGTGTGTGTGTGGGTCGATTCAAATATAGATACATTCAAATCGAAATCCATGAAATATAAGATAATGGAATTGAATTATTGACAAAAAATATTAAATTATATTTGACTCGCCGGATTCAAATCAAAACTTGATCTATTGACATGTTTACTTATAATGATTCTTTTTTGTTTTTTATGTCATTTTAAACACGACACTACGATTTACTAAAATTTTCAAAAAAAAGAAAAAGAAAAATCTATCGGTATCTCAAAATAACCAAACAACATATTTCAATTGTCATTCCAACCCAAAATGGACTATTAGATACATCATTGCAATCTAATAATCTGTTCTTTTGTGGAACGCTAAGAAACCATTTGCTCCTTCATTTTTTTTTCTTTTTGTTAAATCGGTAAATATTAATAATCTATTTCTTTTATTTTTTATTTTTTAACTTCACAATAATTCACTCATTTGTCAATACCAATTAAGGATCGGCAAATGACCCATTAGTCGTCTGGTTGCACAGTCTCAGGATGGCCCATGGACAATTTAACACTAATCTTGTCAAATTTAGACACGACACGAATCGATACAAAATAAACAAGTTTGAGTAAGATTTTATTGGGTTTAAATGATAAACGGGTTGATCCGTTAGATACGTTTAATAAATGGATTGTGTTCAAGTGAATTTTGTTAACCTATTTATCACCCGTTTATTCGTTCAAATAAAATGAATATAATAATAAATTAATAATTATTATAAAAAATTAGACATATTTTTTTTAGTGACAGCCACATAAAATATATATATATATATATATTATTTTTAGTGACAGACACAATTTTTTTTTAATTTAGTGACAACCATAAAAATATAATAATAAACAAACAATAAATTAAAACTAAGCGGGTTAAACAAGTTGTGTTGTGTTCTCCGTTTATTAAACAGTTCGTGTTCATGCGAAGGTTTTTCACCCGTTTATTAAACGGGTCGTGTATGAGTTTACATGTTTTTCACTTGTCACCCGTTTAATCCGATACGTAACCGTTTAACCCGACACGTTTGACAACCCTACTAACAACAATGCAACAAATAGGATTGATGCCTTGTTTATAGTTTACTGGGGTCTAATGTTTCTATCAAATATTCAATGTATTGGATTTTATCTTATCATTTAGAATTTAATATTTGATAAACAAATTTGAGAAGTATTATTTTATTCTAAAAGTTATTAGAGGTTATACAATTTGATGGGATTCACTTGTCTTACATGGTTATTCATAATTGATTGCTTATACTACGTAATGATAATGACGTGATCTAATTGTTGCATCGAATATTTTCTCATTGTTTCCAACTTATTAGTCTAGTAAAATTAAAGAAATATTGCATAATGATATTCCAAAATTTTAAAAATAAATAAAATTCTTTAGGACCCACCGATGACTGGCGCTAAAAAATTAATTAACATTATCCACTTTAGCACACCGAAACAAGTAGAAAAAGAAATGGGGGATTAGAAAACCTTAAACCCTTCGAATTTAAAAACCTAAAACCCTAGAACCTGCTTCTTCTAGACCCTTCTTTCCTCTTCACAACTACACCGAACAACAGAGCATTACCACCTCTGCTTTGTTCCTCCAAAACCTCCACCCACTCTTCTCTATCTCTCTCTAGAGTGCGATACGACTTGTAACTTATACCCTGCAAAATCTATAATCTCTTGGGCTATAATATGTACCGTTTTGCAGCAAATCTTGCCTCCAAAGCTAGGTACTTTGACCCGCCTCAGTCCATATTTTCCACTATCTCTTTACAGGACACAGTCAATATTTGGGTGTAATTCCATATTTGTGATCTTTTTCTGATTAAAAACCCATTTTTGTTTAATTTGCAGGGTCGCTAACAACAGCGCCAATCAGGTAATTAGTACTCTTTTATTTGTGACTTACTATATTTGTATGGTTCATTTGCAATTTTAGAATGTAACCCTCTCTTTTACTCTATATATGTATAATATATGTATCGTTCACTTGCAATACCAATAACATATTTATAGTGTTTTTTGAAACCTATAGGGAAGATTATGAGTGTTTGAAAAACTAGAGGGGGTTGTAGGAATTTTAATAAAAAATGAGGGGAGCCATGGTACCTCTTGGCCTACACATGGTTCCATCCCTGTGTGTGCGTGTTCTGGGTTTGGTTTGGGATGCAGATTGGCAGTAGGTTGGGTTGGAACAAAACTACGTGGCTATAATGTATAGGTGTGTGTATGAATGCATATTCTTATGTATGTATTGTGTTTGTGGTTGGTGGATGCAGATTAGTAGTAGGTTGAGTTGGAGCAGAAACTATGCTGCTAAAGACATTAGATTTGGCGTGGAGGCTCGGGCTTTGATGCTTAAGGGTGTTGCAGAGCTCGCCGATGCAGTTGAAGTGACTATGGGCCCAAAGGTCAGTTTCTTTGCCTCTAATTATGCGGACCTATTTATTTTATTTTTCAATTCTCCTTGGGTTGAATCTGTCATGCTTTCTTTAATCAGAAATATGTGAATTTTACAGCATTATTTTTCTGTTCCAAAGAAGTCAGCAATCAAACTTCTGAATTATTTATTTACACTACATTGTCCAAGCTAATAGTTGAAGATGGATTGTGATCAAGAATATTTGGCCAGTTTTGGGTCTCTTGTGAACTAATATTGATTTCACATACTAAGAGAGAGGTAAAGAGAGACCATGATGATGTTTGTTGTTTTTCATTAGTCTTCTCCAATCTCCATTGTCAGGTAGATATTATTGTATCTTTTACTCTTGAACTATTTGTAGCAAGTTTTGTATTCAATTTCCAAGCCTAGTCAACTGAGCATAGTATGATTAGGTTGTGCGGTTTGTATTTTGTAATCCAGCAGGCAGAGGTGATCCCTATACTTGTTTCTCCTTCCTGAAAAAGTAGGTGTAAATGGAAGCGATTTCACATCAAAGTAATACGAGTTGGGTTTGAACTTGCACTAGATTGCAAGAGGCGTGTGTACTTGAGTACATTCTAGCTATTTATATTCTTGGTTCTTTCAAGTTTCAATATGAGGAGCAATCACTGACTTGATTTTGATGTGATCTGTATTGTCAATATGGCTGATGATTTTAATCACTGGAATTTTGACATATGAAGGGGCGTAATGTGGTGATTGAACAAAGTTGGGGTGCACCCAAAGTGACAAAAGATGGTGTTACTGTTGCGAAGAGCATTGAATTCAAGGACAAAATCATGAATATTGGTGCAAGCCTTGTAAAACAGGTCGCCAATGCTACCAATGACGAGGCTGGTGATGGTAAGTATAAATCAACACTTTCTTTTAGTTTGATGACTGAACTGATGTGCTAATGGCTTTTCCTTGAGATCTCCCTGGTTTCATATGATGAAAGATCAGACTTGTTGACGAAATGGCTTCCATGTTTGTAACTTTGTATTACTTCATCACTTTGGGTTTGAAGTTTGAAGGAGCATTGGAGAAGTAAACCCACTTATGCCTTTGTAGGTACTACTTGTGCTACGGTCCTGACCCGTGCAATATTTACCGAAGGGTGCAAGTCAGTTGCAGCAGGTATGAATGCAATGGACCTTAGACGTGGCATCACTATGGCTGTTGATGCTGTGGTAACAAACTTGAAGAGCAGAGCACGGATGATAAGCACATCTGAAGAGATAGCACAGGTTTGTTTACTAGGCTTGAGTCATTCTGAAGTGTATTACCTTGCAAATACCTATTTAGTTTAGAGGCATCTGGAGGACCCTTAAAGGACCCCAGTTTAGATCTTGCAGATTAGTAGTCCAACCTAGGTTAATGTATTGTAGTCTGCCTATTTGTTGTTCTTACATGTTCCATACTGTTAGGAAAAGAAAAATAAAGAAAGAAAGAAAAAACAGAACCAATAACAAATTCCCAGTTTGATGCATGAATTCTGAAGGAATTAAGAATATTGATCAGTGCGAGGGCACTGATACTAGCACATCTTCTTTTTTTTTTTGATAATCAACTAAACATATTCTATCACACTGTTGTAGGTTGGTACAATATCTGCAAATGGAGAAAGGGAAATTGGTGAGCTGATTGCGAAGGCTATGGAGAAAGTTGGCAAAGAGGGAGTCATCACAATTCAAGTAAGTTATCGTACCATCGAAGTTTCTGTATGTTTCTGTGCTTGATCGGGTGGACTTGTTAGTGTGGTTTTCAAAGCCAGCTTTTGACCTGGTAAATGCTTTTTTCTGGGTTTATGAGATCAGAACATATGAATGGACTTTCAGGGACTATGCTTGTATTGCCACTTATCACTACACTTTGGCAACTTAAGAAATTACTAGACATCACTTTAAACAACAGCGAAGAACTTTATGGTTCTTGAATTTACATCGAAGAAATATAATGTTACAATGCCATAGATTTCAAGATTAGGCAAGTTAATTGTGAATGTGTGGCTTGCAAAATGCAGACCTTAGAAGCTCGAACCAGAACATGGTAGTTTCCTGAATGCGTCTATGATCTTTATCTAGTTTGAATGTGGAAACGGCTGATGTTTTGTGTTTGTTTTGTTGACTGTGGAAGCAGAGGAGGAAAATCAGACAACAAAGAGATTGAACCCTTACCACATGAAACATAATCAGTAATGGATGCAATTTTCTTATATTTGAGTAGTTGTCACTTCATAAAAATAATTTGAATGCTCTGACATCAAGGAATTTCAGTCAAATTATGAATATTATTTACAAGAGGCTGTAACATAAACTATTACTCCCTACAAGTCTTGGTAAGAATTTCGTAACATTTGCATTCAGCCTTAGTGTTCCATCGTGTGGTTCGTTTATACCTTTCTTCTTCATTAGTCTGTAACATGCTTTAAGCTCCTTCGTTGTCATCTTCCTCCTTTTCTACTGCTAGCCAGTAGTTGGTACGTTGTTAGGCATTGGCTAAACACGTATGGGACTGATTTCATGTTATAATGTTGCAGGATGGAAAGACTTTGTATAATGAATTGGAAGTTGTTGAAGGAATGAAGCTGGACCGGGGCTACATATCCCCATATTTTATCACCAACCAGAAGACCCAGAAATGCGTAAACTCTTTTGCTTGTTTTGATTCAACAGCCCAGCGCATCTTTAGATTGCTGCTGCTAGTATGTTCTCCAGCTTCTTAATGCTCACTTGGACTAACAGTGTCCCTGACTACTGACAGGAATTGGATGACCCTCTGATTCTGATCTATGAGAAGAAAATCTCGATTATAAATGCTGTTGTGAAATTATTAGAGTTGGCCTTGAAGGTAACCTGTTTCTCAGCATGTATTATTTTATTCTGATTGAGTTTTACGTAAGCATTGTCCTTAGAGTTTACCATTCTGTAATTTAGTTACTACAATTTTGTCATACTTGTTCAGAGACAAAGGCCCCTGCTGATTGTTGCGGAAGATGTGGAAAGTGATGCCCTTGCAACTCTTATTCTCAATAAGCTTCGTGCTGGAATCAAGGTTTTGTGCTACTTTGTCAAATATTGTAGTGCTTTGTTTGCTATAATTGTTTCTCTCTCGATATATATATATATATATATATTTCATCATGTTGATTTTATGCGTTGGCAGGTTTGTGCCATAAAAGCTCCTGGCTTTGGAGAAAATAGGAAGGCCTGTCTGCAGGATCTTGCCATTCTTACGGGAGGCGAAGTGGGTCCACTGTTGTGTAGTCTTTATATATAATTAATTTTATTGTATGACACTTCAAATATGAATTTACTTTTTCTATATGGCAGCTTATAACTGAGGAACTTGGTATGGACCTGGATAATGTGGATTTGGATATGCTTGGCTCCTGTAAAAAGGTGGACTGTAAAGGAATGCATTAAGCTATTTGGCTATTTTTCATGGCTTGGGTGTATTTTTTGTGATAATATCAATAGTTTGTAAGATAAATAGATTTTTGTTCAGAGCCTCCAGTTTCACCTGTGATCAGTGATCAGATAGTATTGTTTAACTGAAGTTAATGTTCTAGGCCACAGTATCCAAGGATGACACAATTATTCTTGATGGTGCCGGTGATAAGAAGGCCATAGAGGAAAGATGTGAACAGGTCTGTTTTTCTTTCTTGTACATGTACACCCTTCTTCGCATTTTGCTAGATATTCGAAGTGTTCTTGATAAGTGTTTTTATATCCTGACTTAAATTATATGGCCTGCGATCTATATTAACAGATAAGGGCAACAATCGAATCAAGTACGTCTGACTATGACAAGGAGAAGTTGCAAGAAAGATTGGCCAAGCTTTCTGGTGGTGTTGCTGTGTTGAAGGTATGCTCTGTCTCCCTTATGCAATTTTGTCCTAGAAGTTTTAGTTAAAGAAAAATGTAAGAACTATTGTCAGTTTGCTACTTAAGTCTAGCTTAGTTTCCAATCTGATGGTCAACATGTGCAGCTCGATATGCTGCTCTCATTGCATGTCAAATAATTGGAACTGCATTCTCCTTGCAGATTGGAGGAGCTAGTGAAATTGAAGTTAGTGAAAAGAAAGACAGAGTTACGGATGCACTAAATGCCACAAAGGCAGCTGTAGAGGAAGGAATCGTACCAGGTAATTTTATTCAAGTATTTTCATACATAATCTTGTCAATGAGCAGATACTCATATGAGTTCTTTAAATTCAGGCGGTGGTGTTGCTCTTCTATATGCATCAAAAGAATTGGAAAAACTGCCAACAGCCAACTTTGATCAGAAGATTGGTGTCCAGATTATTCAGAATGCCCTAAAGGTTTGAATTTATCATTCTAGAATCAGCATGTTAGGATGTTTAAAATTGTGGAGTCATAGATGATCCATATTAGGATCTCTTTTGTTGGTGTCAATCGTACTAATATGGCGTGTCTTGTCAAAATCCCAACCGGCAATGAAGTCTTAGTGCCCGAATGTTAGTATTGCACTATTGTTCAAAGTCTGTGACCAAGCACTTCTCTTGCCACATGCTATGATTTGTCTCAATGGGAAAAATCTTGGTGTGATTGTATTTTTAATTTGTTTTGTTATGGTGTTTGTACGTTCCTTTATAAAACTAACTCCAATATGAAATTTTTACTGCAGACACCTGTGTATACAATTGCCTCTAATGCCGGGGTAGAGGGGGCTGTTGTTGTTGGCAAGCTGTTAGAGCAGGATAACTCTGATCTTGGTTATGACGCAGCCAAAGGTTGTTACTGCGTCCATGTTATTTCTTTCACTAAATAGAGGAGGAAGCCATTGTTTTCAGTTTGTACTGAACAAGCCAATTCCTATGTTTCTTTTGTTCAACCAGGTGAATATGTAGATATGGTTAAAGCCGGAATTATTGACCCAGTAAAAGTAATAAGAACAGCCTTGGTTGATGCGGCGAGGTGAGATTGAAAAACCATTTGAAGGTTTCTGATTTATAATTTGGTTGCATATATAATATAATCTGATCTGCATTATTATTGTGCTGTACCATGCAGTGTGGCATCCCTAATGACGATAACTGAGGCTGTTGTAGTTGAGATTCCCAAGGATGAGAAGGAAGCTCCAGCAATGGGCGGCGCCGGCATGGGTGGCATGGATTATTGATGGTGCTGATACAAGCACTTGAACTTAGGGTTTTACCCATTTGCTGATTTATTTGTGAGATCAAAGACGTCCATGTATAGTGAGAGATAAGTATGTTGAAGTTTTGATAATGTAGAATAAAAGAGTCAGATTGCGGCTAGAAAGTTCTTTCACTCATTTCTTCAAGTAGCAATGTATCATCTTTCCTGCATAATTAGAAATTCAGTGAATTCTCTTCTTGCATGGTTGCTAACTAAGTCACTGGGGATTGCTCAATTATGGGATCCAATTCCAAGGTATTGGAAGAAAGCTACGAGATGATCTCTACAAGATGTTTTCCTTAATACCCACAAAACTGCCATAATCACACATTGTTTATATTCATGATTACAGCATGAATTTTGGACCTCGATCACTGGCAAATCAAGCATTTAGGAGTTTATTGTGAGAGTTATACTTAGAATCTCAAAATAGTAGAATGCTTAACAAACAATTGAACTTTGTCACACAAGTAGCTCGAGTAAGTAGAGGATAATTTTTGTATATACGGGATGACTGTAATCAATTGCTTGGAATTAAAGACCATGAGTGACAGCCAGACTAATTTGTATGGGAATTCTTACATGTTGGTTCTCATAATGAGAATCAAATTTTACTTTAGTAGCTGAAATGCCAGTGTCTTTGCATTAGAAAGTAAAATCTGATCAATTGGAGGCCATCTTAATGTAAGCATTGTATGACCATCAGTTCTGGTAATTGAGTGGGTAATGTGAGAAAATCAATAGTAGATAAGATCAACTGAGATTGGAACTACATTTCAAAGCTTTCCCTTGTCTTCTTTGTGAATTTTCTGGCAATCAAATCTTGTATGGTGAGATCACTTCAAGTTCCGTCCACGAATTTGGACAAAATTATTCCTACGATCATGTGTAAAGAGGAAAAAAAAAGTTAGAGTGATTTAACACACCGCTTTGCAGTATCTTGTGGTGTGTACACTTAATAAAAAATTGTCATGTTAGACACACAAGTTGATTTTTTTTCATAAAAATTCTGACGAAATGATAAATGACAGCTTTGCTTAGGAATGTATAATTTATGATTGACTATGTACGCTATCTAACTCTCTAGCAAGTGGTGTCTTAAACCCACAAAAAAACATTCTTGTAAAGGAGGGTAAATGGAATCTTGTGGAAGGAGGTGAGAGAGGCCCCCACTCTTCTTTAGGCTACTCTGTACAGTTCCCTACATTCCTGCTAACTCCCACCAAACCCATTCTCTGTACCTTCCAAGTTACACCCCACACAAGTTCAGTAACCCACTCTAAAGGACACTCAAGTCGCCGAGGTTCACCGACTCGCTCTAATGTTCTGGTTGGTATGATAAAAAAGTAACAGAATAAAAAATTAAAAGGAGGAAAAGTTGGAGGAATAAATAAAACATCATAATTAATAAAAAAAAAAGTAGGAAGGATGAAAAAGTTGATGGATTAACTTTCTTTCTAACTCACTAAAATCGATCCCTTCAAAGTCGAAAGGAAAATAGATGAAAAATTAATTATTTGTGTTGAGATATATTTTATTTCTCTATATATCTTATGTATACATTAATTTTCTATAAAAATATAATGATAAAATATGTATATATATTTTTTTAAAAATTAAAAATTAATTTTAAAAAAATAAAATATAAAAAAATTTTAAATTAAAAAAAATATTTTTTCCATTTTAACTAAGTGTGAAAATTTTCGATTCAACACGATGACACAACTCGAGCTCGATATGAAAATAAACAAGTCAATTCGCAACTCGACACGACACAATTAGTTAAATGAATTAAGTTAAGGTTGACTAATATTCGACACAAACTCATAATGACTCAACACGATTTCACTCGATTATCGCCCCTAATTTTAGCCAGCACAAAAAAAAACAAATATAATTATTTTTATTTTTTATCCATCCAATCAAACACAAAAGAAGGAAAGTGTATCCGTCCTACTTTCTATCATTGAAGGATAAAAAATATACCCCTCCTACTTTCCATCCTCCCTACCAAACGGAGCATAAAAGACACAGTCAAGCTCCCAAGGTTCACTGACTCACTCTAAAGAACACACCTAAACCCAATCATAGAACACCTAACAACATGCCATTACAAAAACCAGTTCAACCCCAATAACAAAGTAGTGTGAAAACAAAACAAAAAACAGCAGAAAGAGGTGGTTATGTGACAATCATACTCAAGTTATTTAATAGAAAAAGATTCAAATGGGATCAGATTAGCGCCGTGGGAATGCACATTACTGCACTTAAGCAGTCAGGGTCAAACCTCAAAAACACTCGATCACTTACTAATTACGTGCATCAGATAAACTCGAGTTTTATGTGGCCAACGAACTCGGACTTAAAATCTTCTCACTTTTTGTTTGACAATTAAACTAAATCACTTATGCCCCGTTTGGTAGGAAGGATGGAAAGTAGGAAGAATGTATTTTCTATCCTTCAAGGATAGAAAATAGAAATGATACACTTTCTTTCCTTTGTGTTTGGTTGGATAGATAAAAAATAAAAATGACTAATTTTTTGTTAAATTTTTTTTGTGATGATTAAAATTAGGGTTGACAATTAAGTCGTGTCGTGTTAAATTCGTGTTGCATCATAAAATTATAAGTCTTTTATATTTCTTGTTCGCGTGTCAGGTCATTTTCAAGCTCGTGTCGAGTTATAATCAACTTCGTATTATAAAATTTGTGTTGAGTTCGAGTCGTATCATTGTGTTGAGTCGAAAATTTTCACCCCTAGTTGAAAATAAAAAAAATAAAAATTTAATTTTAACATTTTTAATTATTTATTTATATATATATACACACACATATTATATTTTTATATGAAATTAATGTATACATAATATATATAGACAAATAAGATACATCTCAATACAAATAATTAACTTTCCTTCCAATTTTAGAGGGATTGATTTTAGTGAGTTGAAGAAAAAATTAATCCATAAACTTTTTCATCCTTTATACTTTCCTTCCTTTTCAAATATGATGTTTTATCTATCACTCTAACTTTTCATCCTTCTATTTTTCTATCGTACCAAACAGAGCATTAGGGTTTGTCTCTCTTAACTTAATTTTTCATCAAGTGATACACATCATAATTTCAAGGAGTTTATACTCCAAACTTTTTTTTAACCAAGATCGTAAGCCATGCCTATATGGACAAATGACTAACTTGAAAATTCGTTGTTATGTACTCATGCTAAACGGTTGCTTATGGGTAAAAGCTTTTCCAAATAGTCTCGAGCACCACCCCCTCCCTCTCAACGGTCGGTAGAATTCCCAGAAACGCGTATTAAAGGGGCCCCACTCATTCTAGAAAGTAGAAACCAACAAGATCTGAGCATTTGTCAACTGTTGGGCCTTAACCTCCCTTGTCTTCCTCTGTTTGTCCTTCTCTGATTCAATCTTCATTAAGAATCAAAGTATCTTCATTAACCTCCAATATATTCTTTCAGATTTTCGCACTGTATAGCGTATGATAGGTACTTTAGGAATGATTTTATGTTATAAATTTATATACCCACAAGAATAAAATACCAACCTAAAGTGATTGGGTTTATTTGCAGAATTATTAGGCTTTATTGACAAAATGAATATCACAAAAGGGTGATCCAAACTCCTGTGTACAAGGTACTGAGAGGGTCAGATATACGTATTATTCGCCTGTAAGGGTAGAGGTTATTTTTGTGACTCGAACTTTTGTCGGCTCACCTCTAACTATTTGACAAAACAAAGTTTCAAAAATAAATGGTATGAATGCACTATCAAAATTTAGAAAGAAGATAAGGGTTTTGTATAACATCACTGTGTTGGTGGGTGACAGTGTACTAATTATTGTGCATATGACAAACCAAGGTTTTATTTATTTTCAATTCTCATGGCTGTTTATTTGTATTTTTGTCCAAAATATATGCATTAGGAATGAATTCGGGCATGGAGCGATGTCAAGTGTTCATCTTTCCAAGTGATAAGTCATGGATTCAAGTGCAAGAATTTGCCTCTCTAAAGTAGTATGACACTTTACTACTATTTATCTCTCTCAAACCCGGTTATAGATGGGAGACTTTGTACACTAGATAGAATGAGGATCAGACAAAAAGTCTACCTATTTTATTCAAGGAGCTAACTGAGCTCACTGATGTTGATGGAGCTAAGCTAAATGACATCATAGAGGAGGTCAATATGCAGTTTGAAAATCCAACGGCTGTAAGCCTTGTAGCTGTTTGATTAAATTACTGATAGTTGTATTATAGCCTTTCCAAGCCACTCTTTACAAGTGTTTATAGTCTTGCCCAAGGGCTTCCTTTTCTTGCTTCCAGCTGAGGAGTGTGAACTCTCAAAACTTACTCCAAAAAAAAGGTTAGCTTTCTCTTCATTCGCTGCTCATTTTTTCCATCACCAGTGTCATCTTTTATCGTTTGCATTATTAGTTGGTATTAGTATTGTGATTGTTCTTGTTGTGATCAATTAAGTGTACCATAATCTTTCATGTTTTTATTCTTTTCATTATTGCGGTATTTGATTTTCTTATAAGTTCTGCAAATTTTTGATGTTTCAAGTTTTGAAAATGGTGATAATTCAATTTAAGTTGGGGCATAATGCAGAGGTTTAATTGTCAGTTCCACAAAGAAACACTGAATTGGTGTTCATCATTCAGTTTAGAACATTAAAGGGCCTTTTTTATTTGAGTTAGTTCTACAGATACAGTTCCTCCGTGAATGAAGGCAAATGTTGTAAATGTAGCTTTGTTGCTTGTACTTTTTTTTTTGTTATCAGGAGGACAAGAACATCAATAACTCTTAAACAACTTGTTGCTTGTATTTGAAGTGACTGTAAAATTTATGATTTGTTGTATGGATAGAAATCAATTGTGATTAGTGGATAGGTGTAGGAACCTGATGGTTTTACCGAGATCTTTGTCTCTACTGCATAAATTTTTATCCCAGTGAAACATTATTTAAGTAATCAAAGTGATCAAAATCTTTTTAGGTTTTAGACCTTGATCCAAAATTCCAAATTATCTTCACATGTGGATTCCTCGTTTGAAAAAAATAATTCCACCTTACTTGGTGGCTGATGTAAAAGATATGTTAGTTCTACTGGTTAACTTCATTTTCGAGCACTTACATGTGCAGTTCCTCCTATAATTCACTTTGTGTTCTAAAATACAAGTGTACAAATGTTTTCACTCTTGAAAATGCAGAATGGGGGAGTTTGCTGCAGCAGTGAAGTCTGTGGTCGTTGAAATTAAACCAAGTAATTCTGAGGTTGTTCCATGGGAAGACTTGCTTGAATCAATGGAGCAAAAGAGTGTCTTGTACTCGATGAAAAAAAAGAAGTCTCGACATGCCCGTTATTTTTACGGCATTATTTTCATGTTGACAAACCTTATTGCTTGGTTTGTTCGTGACTATGGAGAAAAAGTTATCTCTCAGCTCCAATGTAAGTCATGGCTCTTCCTTCTCCTGGTTAGAAAACTGGGTTTTTCTCTGGTAAATGAAAGAGTGGATGAAATTTCTAAGCATCAATTAATGGGAAATCATGATTCATGTTATTCAACTTTTAGTGCATGATTTCCATAAATTTCAACATCCTTGCAAGAACATGGTAAAAAATTGTCTATCCTCAGAACCATTTTGTAGCTGGATACCCATTTTTATTGAAACTTCAGATGATGTTATATTTTTCATTGTTACAAATTCTTTTGCAGATTTAAAATCCTGGGGAATCGATGAGCATGATTGTTTTCATACAATGGGAGTTCTTCGTGTGAGTTTAGGATGCTTTGTATCTTTCATTTAGCAAGCAGTAGGCATATTTCTTCTCCATTTTTGCTTTTAGTCAGCAGGGATGAAAATCAAGTGCTGGCATTTTGGTGTTTAAGGTTTGTAACTTGTGCATCACCAGATTTTGATTAATGCTGGAGATAACAACTAACTACCGCGGGAAATCTTTGATTGAAGCTAGTTCTTAATTTATTTTCTTTTCTTTTAATGTCTGGCTAGGGAACAACCAGAAACTAATCTCATGCATTTGTCACATTTAAGTGGACAGGACCAGTAGTTCAAGGTTGCCAAATGGTTGCCATGCCTTCCCCTGTGATCTGATCATCTTTTTTATCTGTCCTCTAGTGCTCTGAAATCGATTTTAACCGATCAGAATTTAAAATAAGAAATGTTTAGATGTAGTGATTGAGATTTGAATGTAAAATGGGGAGATCTCAATGGAATTTGCAGATGAATTTTTCTTTGCTATGTAGCATCCTTGATATGCAATTCAGATATTCTTCTTTATGATGTTCCTTACAACATGCAATACAAGCAAGTTGTATGAAGTTCGCAATACATGGCATTCTGGATGGTGGGCGTCAAAGTTAGCAATACTGATTCTCTCGCTTGTGGTTCCATTCTTTGTCCCTTCAGACCTTGTTCAATTATATGGTATGTCTAATGGGATGCCAAATTTTACAACCTTTATTTTTATTATCTGCCTCCTGCTAGAATGAACCACTTACCTTTACTTGATAATTAACAAAGAACCCGATCATTCACACATTCTCAACATGAAACTTCCCTTCGGGGTCAGTAACAGAATGTCTGTTGCAGCTGAATTTCCTTACGCTTATTTGATGTCAAAGTTATTGTATAATTACTAGCTTTTCCATTAAATGCCATAAAAAGCAATTCCATCTTCTTGCAGGTGAACTTGCTCGCGTTGGTGCAGGGTAAACTTCAAGTCCTTGACTAATAATTTCCAATATCCAACTAGCCTGATTCCTTTACCAAAAAATCTGTATAGACTTGACTTCCTAACTAGCTTAAAGTTTCATATACCACTAAGAAATAAGAGGATATTGCTGATTATATTTATCATCATTTTTCTATGCCTGTATGTAGTTGTGCAGATATTCAGTTTTGCTTTACATGATGCAGTGTTTTTCTTCTTCTCCAACTCGTAAGTGTCATTGAATTTATCACATGGTGGAATAACTACTGGATGCCCGATGAGAGAAAGAAGCAAAGGTATGAGCTTCTCAATATCTGCACTAGCAATATTTTTCACTCCTTGGTATCTGTTCTTTATTGTATGTGATAATTAAAAAGAAGAAAAATTCAAAAAACATCATGTGGAAGCCCAGACCATGCAAAAAACTTCAAAAACTCCGTTTTTGTTCGTGTACTAGCTCTTGAGCCATCTGTGATGTTTCCCTAGAACTTCCTCAACCAATAAATTAATGAGCTTTGTGTATTTGTATAGTTCATAAAGTTCTGTACAATTCACCATATAAAATGATTACTTTAGAATTTGAGATATCCACTTATTACACTCTGTATTAAAAATGCAATAGCAGCTAAAAGGTTAGAGAATCTTAGGAGTGATCCTTTTCTTGATGATATTCTATAATTCTTAAAGAGGGAGTCAAACATTTACTCTCGGATGTGCAGAAAGATGGTGTAAAATAAAATTACTAGCTGTTTCAGATATTCCTCCATTCTTTTTCTCCATTTTCATTTTATTTAGGCTGACCATATGTAAGATTAATGTGCCACATATTTGACAAAATAGAAGAAATAGTGTCAAATAATGTGCAAATGGATGCTATTCAAATGAAGGCAGACACATTATACGCAAAGATCACTTCAGGGCAGACTACCCTTGACAAGGTGGAATGTCGATGCTTTTTTCATGTCAAAAGAAATATTACCTTTTTAAAACGATCTGCTCGTAAAACGGCAATGTCAAACAGATCCCTCGTTTCTGCGGAGTTTTAAATGACTGAGAACAGGTGTTGATTTCCTCATTGTTGGGAAAGTAAAGTTCGTGATACAAAACTAATCCAACTTACAATAGATATGGACTTTCTAGAACAAAAGAAGTTGTTACATTTTTCATGTTACAATTTTTCTCCATCACTTCGAAAAAATTAAAGAATTGATTCATTGAATAAGATTCTTATATGGTTTTTCTATTATGATGTACCACAACTAGTGAAATAATATCTGTAGTTAAACAAAGCTAAATGCACCTCTGAATGTAAATGACAGGTGAAATCAATTAAGCAGTGGTTAGTGATTTTACATCTCACCATTCACCAGGGACAAATTCTGAATAATGAAAGTGACTTCCCTTTCATGGATCGTAGAGACAATCTTCGGTAATAGCCGTGTCCTTTGTGAAAACTGCAATGGAATCACTTCCAAGAATATATCTGGAGTAACATATTCTTTATTCTTTATGACCTATACTTCACTAAAGAAATCCTTTATTCTGTATCAGGTTACTTAACCATATCTGTGGTTAGCTATGTTAATGCACATATTAGGAAGCCCAACTGCCTTATGAAACATGGGGAACTTTTTATTGTGAACATTCTACAAGTATTTTCCAAGTTAAAAAAGCACCGATTTTTATTCTGAAAAAAGGTAGCTATGTCTTGCTAATATTTCAATTTTATTCTAACACAGCTGCTTCCTCGGGCTATTCATGTCAACTCTATTTTACATCACTTCTGTTTGTGGAATAGTGGTGATGTATGCGCTGTATGCCTCCAGACCGTCATGCAATCTTAACATATTCTTCATCACGTGGACTGCAATTTTGCTTGTAGTCATGATGGTTATATCCTTACATTCAAAGGTATGCTTTCCAAGAAAGTCAGTTCCATGTAATCTCTTGTGAATTACAAGTAATGAAGTTGAAGTTACCAAATCGCAGTTTCATTCACCAGTCAGATATTGTGAATTTTATTAGGACTCAACTTCCTTGAGCAACTTACCATTTTCGTAGTGATAGTGAATTTACATTTTGGTGTTTCCATATCTTGTTCTATTGACATTTTAGCTCAAGTCAGATTCCCTTTTAGTCATTTTCTGTTTGATGCTACACTTGAGTAGTATTTAAGAGTATGCACGCTTCTACCAAGTGTGCATATAATGCAGACTTTTTATTTTATACGTTATTAATGCATGCTTAAAGCAGGTGAATAGAGGACTCTTATCTTCCGGGATTATGGCTTCCTACATTGTTTTCCTCTGTTGGACTGCTATCAGAAGGTTAAAACTCTCATAAACATTAAACTTCTATATTTAAAAATGATGATGTACATGAGTCTTCTACCACAGCGAGATTTGGGGATATTGAACTTCCATATTTTAATAAATTAAAATATCTGCACGAAAATGTACATGTTTACCTATAAATCAATCACTGTAATAAGAATTTTTAATTGTTGCGGTCTGACAAATCCGAGTGAATGCACGTAAAATATTTGATGGAAAATCTTTTTGTAGGGTTGATATACTTCGATAATAATTTAAAGTTATGTTCTTGGAGTATAAATTTTACCCAAGAACACTTATCATACATTTTGACTCATTTTCAAAATTAGAGTATTTTGACAACAGAACATGTGTTGTGGCCGGCAAAAACGGGTTGGGTTAGATCGGGGAATGAGAAATGGAGTCTACTCTTAGATTCTTATATAATTCAAAGTAGGAATTTTTTCCCAACTATAGCTGAAACTATATTTCATTTTTGAAGGAAATAATTTAAAGTCCCCTACGTAGTTGATTCGTGACAATGGAACATTGGCTCGATGCTAGTCTCCAGCAAAAGATTTACAAAAACAATTAGCACGAATGTTCATTGTGCGATTTTCAACTGACATACTTTGCATGCTCATTCGAAATTTTCACTTTCATTATTCTATTCTATTATTCATTCCAAGAAGTCCAATGATGTGGAATGACAACTATATTTACCATCTTTCCGTTAGTGAGTAAGAATCAAAGAATGCAAATACTTGAATCAAAACACTCTCGAGTCTCAAAGGTAGAAAGAATTGTGGGATAAATTCTTAGAAGCCTATCTGCCCTTTTGCAACTATGTACATAAGTTTTAGCTATCTGTGAACCAATGTGCCTACCTTTAAAGATTGAGGAAAATGTCTGCCCTGCTGTTGCTTCTTGTGGGTTACTGAGTATGCCTTTTTGGGTTGCAGTGTCGCATATGAAGCCTTTACATTTTAAATCTATGGGAAAGAGGAATCCCATACACCGAATTTCACTGTTAGTTTTATCAGATACTTCCCCAGTTAAAAAATGATTTTTTACTGTTCATATTTGCTTCCCAGAATCTGATTAAAATTTGTTTCTCGGCTGTGTGATTCTTAGTTTTATTGTTCCAAAATGCTTTCTCGTAACACTAAAAAGTCCTTTGCAAGGCATAATTATTTGATTTCTGTTTTGCAACACTTTTTGTTCCAGCGAGCCTGCTACTGCGAAGTGCAGCCCCCAGAAACAGGAGAATGCAAATGGAGGTTGGACCACTGTAGTTGTAAGAGTTCACAGCTTTTCTATGTTTCTTTGTGTTTCTTCTAATTGAGTCATTCAAAAAGTGTTACGAAAAACATGTAGCTAAAGGACTATTATCAATTTACATGCTGTTTCATCAACTTAATGAGGCACGATTGAGTGTCACACATAAACCTTCCCATTCTCGCAACATCTTGGGTTAGAATTCATCCTCTCTTCCCCACAAATGTGTATATGATGTTATTCTTACCCCCATAAAATAAAGAAAAAGGTGTCCCAATATGCCAGGACTCAATTTGGTTGTCCCCCTTTTGTGTTGTGTACCAGTAATCGTCTATTTCACAATATGTTGCACTTCGATGCACCAAAATGTTCACAAAAAAAAAAAATGATAGATATGTACCTAAATTGAATAGGTTCTGTTTGATTCTTAGATGGTATCATCTTTAATTTCCTTATTGTTTTTCCTCTAATATTTCACTCATGCTGCTTCAGGGTTTCCTCATTGCTATATTTGCAATTGTCATGGCAACCTTTTCCACAGGGATTGATTCACAAACTTTTCAGGTGAATTGACCTTCTCTCCAGAAAATATTGATAAAATTAATATTTGAGCTTCTTCGGTGATCTTCTTAATTTGTAGTATTAAGGTGAAATGCTACTAGTAGCTTTAAATGCTAGTCCCCAGGCTTGAAAATGTAATCACAGAACCCTATATTAGAAATTTCTAAATAGATACACCTTAATGCACTACTGAGAAAAGATGCATGCTCATATAAACTCATGTATTTTGTGCATTTGCTCAGAAATAATGGAGTGTTTCATGTGATATTTGTGCAGTTCCGTAAAGATGATGTTCTACTGGAAGACGATATTCCATATAAATATGGCTTCTTCCACCTAATATTCTCCTTGGGGGCCATGTATTTTGCAATGCTATTCATCAGCTGGAACCTTGATAGCTCAACAAGGAAGTAAGAACATGATATTTTCATCAAACTGTCTCACCTATTTCAATGAAATTCACATCAAATATTGTTTTGCACTCACTGAAGTAGTTTGAGAACAACAGATGGAGCATTGATGTTGGCTGGGCTAGTACATGGGTGAAAATCGTTAACGAGTGGTTTGCAGCCACAATATATTGTAAGTCAATCACTTACTCTGTTCGTCTTTAAATTGCTTTTGTAAACACAAGTCCTCGTCAATTAGCTAAGACCTACACCTGCATTTCCATAGTCTAAGATTTCCCACTCAGTTTTAGGTTGGCCACATAAAGTCAGATACAAATCCATCTAGGATATTTTTTCCTTTCTTAACATTTCTAATACTTTACATGCCAACTACACTCAAAGCTTGCTAATGTAAAGATCGGTTCGGATGACCTAGTAGTGGATATATATCTACAGGGAATATTAAGAAGTTTTATTCGAATAAGTTTCCGTTAGTCGAAAGAATGCAATTTGATATTCCAGTTCCGGGAGTTTGAGATTTCTGCGCTGCTGAAAATTTTTCGAAGTAACATTTTGGGTCCTCAACTAACTACTGAAGCCACTACATCTTTTTATGCAGTATGGAAATTGATTTCCCCAGCTTTGACAGAGTCCAAAGTCAGGGATCATGAAGAACCAGCACAGCAGTTAGATAATTCAACTTCACCATGATTTCATATTGCACTGTCCATTGTAGCATAGCCTTTTGTCCCTCAGCTGACATGTATTTGAAGGTAGTCCAATATGTCCAATTCAAGCATCAAGTTTACAAAATAAATAAATTTTCCTGGTATTTCAAGTATTTTTGCATTTGATTCTCGATGTACATGACATTTTTTTGTGACATAAATGTTCTGCAAATACATGCTAGCTAAATAAAGACGGACTCGTATTCAAGTTGTTACCTTTGTTGTTGAATCCAAATATTTTTCTTTGAATCCATATAAACCAAATAATTATCCATGCCTGAAATGGATAACTAACTGGTTTATAAAAATGCAACAGTTGAGAAACTTGAATTGAATAATTCCACTTAGTATATATTTGAAGTGACATTCCAAATGCACTCTTAAGCTTCATTTAGGCTTTTTATAAAGTCTTATGCTCCGTTTGGTAGGGAGGATGGAAAGTAAGAATGATACACTTTCCTTCTTTTGTGTTTGATTGGATGGATGAAAAATAAAAAAGACAATTTTTTTTATTTTTTTTGTGCTGGTTAAGATTATGGACGATATCGAGTCGAGTCGTGTCGTGTCAGATTCATGTTGAGTCATTACAGGTTTGTGTCGAATATTAGTCAAACTTAATATAACTTATTTAACTAATTGTGTCGTGTCGAGTTGAGAGTTGACCTGTTTATTTTCGTATCGAGTTTGAGTTGTGTCATCATGTTAAGTCGAAAATTTTCACCCTTTGTTAAGATGAAAAAAATATTTTTTTTTAATTTAAATTTTTTATTATTTTTAAAATTTTTAATATATATATTTTACCATTGTATTTTTATATGAAATTAATGTATACAAAATATATGTATATATAAAAAGATACATAGGCAAATAAGATACATCTCAACACAATTAATTAACTTTTTATCCACTTTCCTTCCTATTTTGGAGGGATTGATTTTGGTGAGTTGGAAGGAAAGTTAATTTATCAACTTTTTCATCCTTTCTACTTTTCTTTCTTACCAAACATGATGTTTTTTTATCCCTCCAACTTTTCATCCTTCTAACGTTTCATCCTCACTTTTTCATCGTACCAAACGAAACATTATGACGTAATTTCTGATGCGCTATTTTGTTAAGTCTCTTCGGAAGCGAGATAAGATTGAATATATTTGACCTTACTCAGAGCCTACAGATGCAGGAGTCTCGTACACGAGGATATTTTTTAGATGTTTTATTTAATTGTAACCCAATAGAACTCAAAGCGCCAACTGCTTTACATCCCCTGGAAACTAAATATTTCAATGTTTTCATACTTAGGGTTTTGTTGTACCCACCACACCAAGGAGCTTACCATCTCCCACTAATATGCATTACATCAATATTAAGCTGTCTAAAGGAAAAAACTTCAGAGAATGGGTGGCTGTGATGGTGCTATCAGTTGATCTTGTTGTACAGAACCCTAAAGCAGAACCCATTACAAATGCAAATCAGAACCCCCCCCCCCCCCCCCCCCCCTTGCGGCGGGGCCAACCCCAACCCTATACACACACAAAAAATGGCAGACCATGTGTACTTATAGCTAAATAAACAGGTAATAAAGAAGATTGATTAAAAATCTCACAACAGAAATCTCTCTAATAACTAAATCACAACCTTTTGAGTCTGACAACAACTCCATTTGATCTGATAATCAACACTATATAAAGAGCAAGTTTGGAGTCCATTTGCAAATTCATCCAACAAACATTCATTATTTGGCACCTAAAGACACACTAACCTCTCTCTCTCTCTTTCATACGCGCACACAAATTTCAAAAATGTTCAAGCAAACAACCCCATCCGCCATTTTTCTTGCAATGCTAATTGCAGTAGTGCAAGAAACAACAATTGCCACTGCAGTTGATCCAGCAACAGCAGGCGGTGGAGCACCGGTTCTTGAGTTATACATGCATGACATTCTTGGTGGCAGCAACCCTACCGCTAGGCCAATCACTGGCTTACTTGGGAACATCTACAGTGGTCAAGTACCCTTCGCTAGGCCGGTTGGCTTCCTCCCCCCAAAAGGAGGTGTAGCCATTCCAAACGCCAACGGTGCCCTCCCAACAGTCAATGCCAATGGCATTCCACTAGGAACTGGTTTAGCTGGTACAACTTTTGCTGGACTCCCTAATGGTGCAAACAATAATGGACAACCCTTTACCACCCAATTAGGCCCTGATGGATTAGGACTCGGGTTTGGAACGATCACAGTCATTGACGATATTCTAACCTCTGCACCAGAACTGGGATCACAATCACTAGGAAAAGCTCAAGGCGTCTACGTCGCGAGCTCTGCAGATGGAACTACACAGATGATGACATTCACGGCCATGATGGAAGGAGGGGAGTATGGGGATAATCTCAACTTCTTCGGCGTGTACAAGATTGGGAGTGCAATTTCTCGTCTCTCCATTACTGGAGGTACTGGAAAGTTTAAGAATGCTTGTGGATTTGCAGAGATGAGGTCACTTATACCAGCAGGGCAACATGTCACTGATGGTGCAGAGATATTGCTGAGGATTGCAGTTCACCTCTCCTACTAAGATAAGCTATGGTGTCCATAGTGAAAATGGGTGTGTTCAATTGTGTGAAAAAGGAATGTTGGGTTGATATGTCATTTCTTTGTGTCATTGTGGATGTTGAATGATGAAATGTTTTTTCATGTTTTTTTTTTATATTCAGTGCAAATCCTTTAACAAAATACTTGCTTGTGTTGGGGCTGCGTGTATGGCAGATCATGTTGACCAAGATATGACCCGAAAAATTGGACGTAGTCTATTTGA